TATCTCTAAGAATCTGACACACTGTAAACAGAACTACCTTCACTTACTTCTCCAGACATATCAACTCGCGACTGATATCGGCTGCATGCACAAAATCTAATCGTCAGAATCCATGAAGATTTCAGAAAAAATTAAATTCCATTTCGAAGGATGGTGATGGATATCGAACTGGCTTATAAAAATTGAGCAAACAAGCCCCATTCGCGGCCATTACAGGAAGTTAAAACCACTGTAGAATAGTTATTTATAGTTTTCAAGTGACGTCAAACGCATAGCTCCGTTTAGTTGGGTATTTTCCCGACCATATAAGGTTGTCGACTATACTCGACTGTGGGGTGCTACGGGATAAGCGGCGGAAGTCCAGTATACTCGACTGTGGGGTGCTAAAGGTTAATGAGTCATATGTATCCAGGTCAACACTGAGATACTGGGTCACGGAGTCACATGGCTAGCATTATGAATGGTTCAAAACATCTTGCGCGCCGTACTGTCTGCTTACTTGTAGTATAGGGCCGCGTTAGTGCAGTCGATAAGAAGCTCGCTTTCAAATGCAGCTGCGACTCACTGTAGCCCACGGTCGGTGTTCAAAACCGGGTGGCTCCCGGGGTTCGCCCAGCCTCTAGGAAATGGGTACCAGAGTGACACTCTGGGTAAATGGAGGAACTTCGCTGTAGCTACAGAGTTACGTGCGAACGGCGACACAGGTGGACAGTTCTTATCAGCTGTCCGTACTGGTGGCAGAGCTCTTATGGTTTTTAACACATCTCCCGACTTTACCTTTACCTTTGTATAGATACCAAACATGTTTTTGCTGGGCCAGAACAAGTCATGATCATTGTCATCTAGTGCCATTAAATGTCACATAGGGCTCACACTCTCTTCCTTTATTCTGTTCTTCTTCTTCTTCATATTCACCAGCTATAAACTGTGGTGGAAAATTCTGGGTGTTCATCCACCTCCTTACTTTAGTCTTGTTCCTGAACCTAATAGATCTGGTTTATTTTGTATGCAGACTCTTGGTTTGTTAGAATAGGGGGAAAAAAGAAAACTTTGGAGGGCTTCAACCTGCCACGAGGGCTTGGTTTTAATTGCACCCTGTTTCTTTGCGGTTTTTAGTTTCTTTCTTTTCTTGTGACGTGGGTCTTGTTGTGGTTTTTTGAATTTCTGCAACACTGGCTTGTTTTTGGGAGTGGATGTCTACTAGTCCTGAAAAGGACTAGTAAAATTTGCCTGGGTTGGCCTGGATTGGGTATGAGACTCTTGGTTCCTTGCCTCACAGGCAGATGTACTCGGACTTCAAAGGAGGCCCCTAATTAGTTGACTCATATGACATGCGTATATAACTAGGTTATTCATTCACAAATAACTTTCTGCTAATAAACAAATGATGGTTCTAGAAAGAAATGTCCAGATTGCTAAGACCTGTTGACTTCAGTCCCTTCAACTAATTCACAATGTCCTACCTCCTGGCAAACAAGTGATGACGTTATTTGTGCAATAAAATCATAGAGTAGTAATACCAGGCAGGAACACTGTCTTTATTGATTAATTGGCACCTTTCCAGTCTTTCCAGACGATAGTGTTATATAACTGTCTCTGTTGAGACTTAGTGTCTCAGTGACACGCTATGATCATTTCACATGTGTAAGCATTAGCAGGTAGCACTGAGAGAGTATCAAGTGATATTTTGCTCATCACTTCACTGTTGAAAGTATGCATGCACAGTTTGTATCATAGTACAGTACTAGCTACTGGTTGTTATTATAGATTACAGTTTCTGCATAACTGGCGTAAGCATTCTTTTAGCTATGTCTGTGATGTAACCCCACTAGTGTGTTTGTAACGAATAGTAAACAGTAACAGTAAATAGTAAAATAATGCATTTTCCTTTAGCTGTGGAAAGTGTTAGTGATGATAGTGGTTACATGCACCTCTCACCACCGTCATGTCTAACACATGACATGACTACTTTGTACAAGTTAAGATTGAATAAATATCACATGAATCTCCGTTTCACATGTGTTGTCTGCAGGCTGTCCACACGAGAAAGGGGTCAGGTCCTTGTGTTGGAAGGTGAGGATCTGAGTGCATGTGTTGTGTGTGTACATGTGTGTTGTGTGTGTACATGTGTGTTGTGTGTGTACATGTGTGTTGTGAAAGGGAAGGAGAGAGAAATCATGTTAATGAAAGAGATACCTAGATCCTGCTTTAGGGAGAGGATGAATGAATGCATGAAATATGAATAAATGAATCGATAATTGACTGACATCTTTTTTTCTTCTACCTTCTACACTTCAATGGAGCATAGGCCCTCAACTAACTCATGCCACGTTGTTCTATCCTTTCTCCTCAGAAGGAGCTCTCATGACCTCCCCATCTTTTTAGCTTCACTCTCTAGCTTCTTCTCCGTGTGTTTTTTGTTTGTCTTCCTTTATTGATATGCCCCTGTGGGTTCCACTGCAAAGACATTCTAGTTATATTGTTCTCAGGTTTTTTCAACATGTCTTGTCCAATGCCGGCATCTTTTCTTCACCTTTTGGTCGACTGGAAGTTGTTTAGTTCTCTCCCAAAGCTCAACATTAGTGATTCTCTCATACCATTTAATTACCTTTATTCTGCCCAGGCACCAGTTAATGAATGTTTGTGGTTTAATTAGTTTAATTAGTTAATTATTAATTACCTTAGTTCTCCATGTTTCCGCTCCATGCACCAATACTGATCTGGACTGCTTTCGGCTTTCTCCACACTGTGTTATACTTCTTCTACAAGTAGAACCTTCCCTCCTCTTGGATGACTGGTATTTTAACTTGTTTCTCTTTTTTTGACTTTTCCACTGGTTGGTTTTTGTGGCTATTGTTTCTTAAAGGATGAGGTGCCTTTTACGACATGCCTGGTAGGATGCAGTGTTACTATTCTTTGCTTCCCATGAGGGTGTCGGTGACACACGGCGTCATCACAAAGTGTAAAATCTGTGGAGATGAAAACAGTTGTTGATAGTTATGATGAACAAGAATAAACAGGATTTGATTATGTAAAGAAGGTTAAAAGATAAAGAAAAAAGCATGACCTTGATAAATATGAAAAGCATAATAATGCCTCGCCATGATCTTGCAGACCGTCGTTTGTCGCATCTTTTATGTTGACTCTTTCTTGTATCATTGTCTACCTCTTGCTTATTAACCTTCTTTTCCCTCCTGTTTAGTTTTTTTTAAGGCTGTCTTATCTTTTAATTTAACCAAAATATTCCATTTGTCTCTTTTATAATTATTTCATGAACTAAATTTGTAATCTTAGTCTCTCTAGAATTTTATTTGACATTTTCTTCTCCATGAAGTAGGAAATATTCTTCTATATGTTCACTTCCACTCTGACCAGATACTGCTGAATTATCTACCTCCGGAGAGAACAAAATGGAAGAGCATTTTACACCAGCAGAGGTAGGTGTTGTTTGGGACGCAGTGATTCTCAAACTTTGCTACAGCAGAGGGCAGCATGCATGGCTGGTTCCGAGACGTGATTGGTGGATTGATTCATCAGCATGGTTGAATGATCACAGTTGTTGTTAGTTGAGATGTGGGCTCAGGCACATGACCAGACGGTTTATGGAAATACCTGGTTGGTTGATGGACATTAGCAGAGGGTACACGCATTTGATAGCGGCGTCTGTGGCTTAGGCGTTGCAAGTCCGACTTGTAATCCAACGTACCGTGATCGAAACCCACTGCTGGCTGCATGGATTTTTATCATGGTGTGGGGTGTTACAGGTTGACTCAGCCTAAAATGGGTACCAGGATGGCTGTCATGGGGAAGTAAAGACGGCCGTCGTAATGCTGACCACATTACCCATCCAGTACTGATTGTTATGTAAAAATGTGGGACACTCTTCCCACATACCCGATGCGCCTAAGGCGTAAAAAGTGATCTTTACTTTTACTTTACTTACACGCATTTGATTGGTTGGCAAACCTAAAGATTTACAAATATGATTAGTATGGTTAGCGTGTCCAGTGACATGATTGGTTCGTCTACTGGCATGAACCCATGGTTCAGAGTTTTCATTGGTTGGTTAGCTGTGAATCTTCTTCTGAAGACTTGAATTCTACGCTGAAATCTGATGCATCGATAGTCAGGTTGTTTGAGCCATGAAAAGGACTGGCTTCCATTAGAGTATGCAGATTTGAGGCTTCTGTTAGAGTATGCAGATTTGAACCCACTGCTTTTGGGTTTGCAGGCGAGTGTCAGACCTTAGTGTTCGCAGTCAGTTCTGTCCATGATTTGTCTCCAAGCGACTGTCCAGCTTTTCACCATTTATCCTCAGTTCACTTGGTGTGCCTCTGCATTTTCTGATTTTGCTGATTTGTCCATGTTTTGTCTAATGTTGTTTCTCCGCACACGACCAAAGAAGGCCATTTTTATCTTTTTTTCATAGCTGTGTAGTGTTCCATTGTCATTACTGTATGTTTATCAATTCTTTTCTTTGCGTTCACCAGTTGTAAACTCTTGTGGAATGTTCTGGTTGTTGATCTACTTCTGGACTTTTGCCTTGTTCCAGAACTTGAGTTTGGCGTGCACATCCATTTTACACATCTCTTCGTTTGTCAGCAGACTATTGGTTCCTTGTCTCTCAGACACTCTGACTTTGAAGAAAACACCACTAATTAACCAACTTTTACAACATGATGGGGGTGGGGGGGGGGGCAATGATTCTAACCCATCAACCCCAGAGGGGAACTGAAAATGACTGACTGATGTGTTCAAATCTACCAGGAACGTACAACAAGCGAAAAACAACCGGTGACACAAAGTGCCACCATTTGGATGAGAATCACCCAGGCGCAAGTCCAAGAAACTCTCTTCATCCCGTACATTATATTTCAGCCAAGGTGGGGCTTTACAAAAACCAATAAATTATGTCACTTATTAGGGCAAGTTTGTAAGGGGGCCTGAAACCCATATGGGAAATGTATCAGTTCAATACTTGCTCTTTTCTTCTCATTAAGAAATCTGTACAAACAGTACATTGATGAGATGATCATTCTACCTGGCAAGAAGACCAAATCCAAAGAGTCCGCTAGTGGCCAGCTTGAGGACCATGTAAGTTGAGGTGACCAGTTCCTGTTTAACAACAACAAGGAAAATTATTTTCTTCAGATCTTGTTTGTAAATTACCCACCATAAAACTCTTTTATCGTTGGTCGTTATCACCGACCCCTCCGCCTAACTTCTGTTTTTTTTTTTTTCTGATTGGGTCTTTAATTTACATTTACAGATGTGCTGTAATGATAAAATTGACAGTTTTTATTTTTAAGTTCCTATTTAGGTCCATACAGTCTTAAGTAAAGTGTTGACTGATTGGGCTAGTGTTCCCTTTCATAATGAGCTTTTAGGACATGTTTCACAGTTTGTATGCACAGTCCACATGGGCGCGGTAGTGAACTACTCAGATTAAGCCTATGTATATGCTTTTTAATCCTGTCACCTAAATCTAGTCACTTCCGGTTGTGACACAGTCCCATAAATGCCGATATGTGGCCATGTCTTCAGTGACCTCTTCTTCAATAGTATAGTTAATTTCCATTGGTCCTCTGTGTGCCCACACGGTGTTTAATAGGCCAGGATATTAATATAGTAACTAAAAATAGCATTCAGGGTGTTACATTAAGTCCTCGATGGCTTTTTCAAAGTCAAATGGATCTAAGATTTCCTGTAAGACTCAGTATTACTAGACTAGGGGTCATGGCGTCACGACATGATTCACTTCGATACACGTTTTTTTTTTTTTAACTTCCTGGATGATGTATTCCATTTATTGCTTCACTCTGTTCATTTCTTTTGATTACCCCTTTATATATTTTTCTATATTTCAGGGGAAAATTGTGGATTAGTAAATTTTATTATATATTTATTAGTGACCATGTAATGTGTGTTTTGTGAGGGATTTTTTCCCTGGGAATAGTTATAGGTTCATGATCCTTTCTTTATTAACATTCAGGTGGTTGAAGGTTTTTTTGAATGAATTTATAATTCTCATCACTGATTTAGCTCATTCCTATAAATGCTGCATCCATTTCTCCTGTAGCTATAAATTCCAGTGCTGATGGAGTCAGTGGCAACCTCCTGGTTGAAAGTTTGCTTATCTTTCCCCCCAACATTTTGAATTTGGTTTAGACTTGTGTCTCACTTCCTGTTGAAACAGTCTCACCGGCCATGTCTCTTCTGCTGCACTGTCCACTTAATCCTGGGGAGCCTTTAGAAAAAAACACCTTGTGCTGTGTCTGTCTTAGATGATAGAATGCTGAACATTGATCCCTGTTGAGTTAAGAATGCCTAAACTATCAGAAAGGTGATATTAAAATAGAAGATGAGGGATGTGATCATTAGATGAGGATTTTATGGCATCTACAGAAAGTCAGATTTGCAGAAGTGGTCATAGCTGTTGAAATGGATACAGAATGGCTGTTGTAAATATGCCAACTTATTGTAGTTCATAAACGAAACTGAAACTTTCCAGATCCATCTAAATTCACACAGTATGTCTTTTCAATATTGCTAAATTCTCCTGCTAGATGCAAGACTGACAATGAAAGACTTTTATTGTGGTTTGTTTACAAATAAGATCTGAAGGAAATAATAATTTATTTTTTTTTTGGGTAAATATTCTTTAGATGTTCAGAAAAATAGCTAATGGTGTCTGGATAACAAACTGACATGTATTGCATATTCTTCTTTATCTTCTTCTTCTTCTGCATTTACCGCCATTAAAAGGGTGGTTTAAAAGTCATATTCTGGTTTACAGCTAGACTGCAGAATCTGCACCTTTTGGCCCAACACATTTGAATTCAACAAACCCTTAATTAATCACTCTGTAGGATATGCTTATCAACAGGCAGTGGGTCTGTTCTTCCCCCTGACCCCAAAATGGGGTCCCAGAGCCCACACATGGATGTCTTACATCTGGCAAGAGTATTTAGCTATATTGAAAACACATACTGTGTGAATTTAGACGGATCTGGAAAGTTTCAGTTTTGCTTATGAACTAAAATAAGTTGGCATCTGTGGCTTAGGCATTGTGACCACACTTCATAATGCTGTAGTGCCAGATTTGATCTCAGCTGCGGGCAACTTGGCAGCAGACTGCCCTGCGTTGGTTTTGACTGTGGTACCAAAAGCAGACCGTTCAGACAGAGGGGTAACTACTGAACCGAAAATGTTAGTTCCTTTACAGGACATTGCAGAACCAACCCAAGCATTTTTTGGCGTTGTGGTTTTTCAAGACAAATTTACGTCCAGCAGTTTGCTAACCGGAAATATAACCGGAAAAAAATTATGGAGTTGGTTCTGCAAAATTCCTGAAAAGGACATGCAACACAAATTTAACAAGGTTCTCAATGAACATCCTCTACGTTTCTTGATCAGTATTAGTTAGTTAGTCTTTCCTCTTGTGTCGAGTGCGGCACATAGGGCAGAGGTCATGACTCTCCATGCACGGCGGTCCGTTGCAATCTGTTGTAGGTCTTGGATGTTTGAGTGGCCCATGAGCGAGCCTTCCCTGATGATAGTTCTACGTAGGGTTTCCCTTGGTCTTCCACGAGATCTTTTCCCCTGTAGTGTCCAAATGAGGGCTTGGTAAGGAAGTCTTGATTTATCCATTCTAAGGGTATGGCCGACATACTTGATCAGTATGGAGAATGTTAAAGTAACATTGGAGAATTTTAGAAGTTGGGATGGATGGTCAGGATTAGTTTGATTCTATTAAGGGTGTGAATGGCTAAGCTGGAAATCCTCCACCCCCAAGGATTAGATTTTAGCACCGTTTACACCCTTTTTTTAAATAAAATTATTAATGACAATAAATTGAATGGGATATTCCTTTTTCTATTATATTTTGGATGTTTCTTTTTGTCAGCCATTGAACCTGAACCCAGACAGTGAGTGGAGTGGGACATTCCGGGACAATGAGCAACTGATCCAGATTGACAAAGACTGCAGGTTTGTTCTGTCTTTATCAATCAAATCTGCAGCAGTGTATGTTTTATGTAAGGTCAGGCACTGCCGTTTGTGTGTGAAGGGCTCGGGGGCTGCATGGTGTCCACCTCAGGTGCTAGAAGCTCTGGGTTCAATCCCCGGTAAAGGCTGGGATTTTTTTCTTAGGACTCAGACTTGAGTTAGAAGAAGAACAGAGCACTTATGGGTTACACCCGTGTGCCATGATGTTGATCAGTTGTTCAAAACCTCAGTGTGAAGGGCTCAGTTTTTACAGTTTTGGTCAAGGTCATGACATAATGTGCTTGCGGTATTTTTATTCCCTCCCTGGCTAAATCTTATTCCATCCAAATTTGCTTTAAAATTTTGATGTTGGGTCAGCACTGGAATTTTACTTATTGAAAAACAAATTATATAAAAAATGTAATTCTGCCATTGTGTCTTAACAAATTGGCAAGCTCATATAAAGTGAATTCCTATAATGTCCATAATATAGTTCTGCTGTGACTGTAATATTGCCATGCCTGTAATACTTTTGTTGGGGGGGGGGGGGGGGGGGGAGAAAAAAAATGTACTCCCTCTCTAACAAGTATGCCATGAAAGATGACTGATTAGGGCTTTGCTGAAATTGACAGACCTGCAGCCTGGCTGTAAACCACAACACAGTGTTCCACCTGCAGCCTAGCTGTCAACCACCACACAGTGTGCCACCTGCAGCCTAGCTGTAAACCACAACACAGTGTTATGGCTTTAATGCTATCACACCTGTAATGTTTTCATGGCTATAATGCTGTCACACCTGTAATGTTTTCATAGCTATAATGCTGTCACACCTGTAATGTTTTCATAGCTATAATGCTATCACACCTGTAATGTTTTCATGGCTATAATGCTGTCACACCTGTAATGTTTTCATCTCTGTAGTGCTGTCACACCTGTAATGTTTTCATGGCTATAATGCTGTCACACCTGTAATGTTTTCATGGCTATAATGCTGTCACACCTGTAATATTTTCATGGCTATAATGCTGTCACACCTGTAATGTTGTGATGTCTGCAATGCTGTCACACCTGTAATGTTTTCATGGCTGTAGTGCTTTCACACCTGTAATGTTGTGATGACTGTAATGCTGTCACACCTGTAATGTTTTATTGGCTATAATGCTGTCACACCTGTAGTTGTGATGTCTGCAATGCTGTCACACCTGTAATGTTTTCATGGCTGTAATGCTGTCACACCTGTAATGTTGTGATGTTTGCAATGCTGTCACACCTGTAATGTTGTAATGCTGTCACACCTGTAATGTTTTCATGGCTGTAGTGCTGTCACACCTGTAATGTTGTGATGTCTATAATGCTGTCACACCTGTAATATTGTCATGTTGTCACACCTGTATTATTGTCACACTTATAATAATGTCATGCCCGTAATGATGTCATACTTGTAGTCTCATCATGCCTGTAATGCTGTCATGCCTGTAATGCTGTGCTGTCATGCCTGTAATGCTGTAACACCTGTAATGCTGTCATGCCTGTAATGCTGTGCTGTAACACCTGTAATGCTGTCATGCCTGTAATGCTGTGCTGTCATGCCTGTAATGCTGTCACACCTGTAATGCTGTCATGCCTGTAATGCTGTAACACCTGTAATGCTGTCATGCCTGTAATGCTGTGCTGTCATGCCTGTAATGATGTGCTGTCATGCCTGTAATGCTGTCACGCCTGTAATGCTGTGCTGTCATGCCTGTAATGCTGTGCTGTCATGCCTGTAATGCTGTGCTGTCATGCCTGTAATGCTGTCACGCCTGTAATGCAGTCATACAGTTATGCCAGCCATGACAACTACGATAACTTTGTGCTTGCTATATATTTGCCAACAGGCGGCTGTGTCCAGATTTGTCATTCTTCCAACAAGCCACAGACTTCCCATGTGAAGAGCTGGTCCACTCATCGTCAAACGTTGAAACTCTCCATAAACGTGTGGAACAGTGTGTCCTGCAGTCGGAAACAGTAGCTAAAAACAGAATGGGAACCTACTATAATGTGAGCTTGATATGTTTGTTTGTTGTTAAAAGGTGTTAAGGTTTAGCTGTAGTTTGTCTTTAGTTCTCTAGCTTTTACTGTTGTATGCATAAGAATCATGGAAAGTAAGCAACAAACTGAGAAACAAAGAGCTTGTGACATAGAAGTTTCTAACCCAGCTACAGTGCAGACCTGATAAGGAGAACTCACCAGGGACCCAAGAAACATTGCTGGGGATAAGCAAAGTGATGAAATAACATTGAAACAAAACAAAAAGGACACACACTATATGTGGCACAGATAACTGGCATGGGATGTCTCATATAGAGCTGTGGATTTCATGTGGAATACTTTTCTGTCTGTTCCCTAGGAGATTTATGTTGTAAACTGTATGTTCCAATAATGGTGTGTGGCCTGTTACCACAGAACTGGCTGTATGCCTTATGCAGTGATACCTGTGCAACTGCCGGTTTGTGGTGACTGCTGCTTCTTTTGATGATGGACTGCACTTCTGTTGACAGGCTTTCTTGGTACCTTTGGCAGCAAAAACTAAAATGATATTGGAATTTAAAATACGTAACTTGGCTCTAAAACTATATAATTTAGAGTGACGTAATATCTCATCATCATCAATTTCCACTTCTGCATTTAAGCGTTGTGGGGAGGAACAGTGTGCAATTTCCTCCTTGATGGGCAGCCATGGCTATTATCATTCCCTGTCAATGTAGAAGCTCTCTAATGTCATCAGTCCATCTTCTCCTAGGGTTGTCTCTTGCTTTCACTTCAGATTCTTTCATGAGTGGCGCCTGCATTGGTATTTGTTCTGGCTGCATTCTTACTAGATGACCAAACCATTCGATCTTCTGTTTCTCAATCAATTTGCTGCATGGTGTTGTTCCTACAGTCTGTCTGATAATATCATTTCTAACTTTGTCTCGGATGGTTAAGTTGGCGGTTTTTCTCAGACATCTCATTTCACAGGTGTTAATTTTGCGTAGATTAGCCTTTTATAATGTCCAAGTCTGGCACTGGTAGCACAGTGTTGGTGTGAATATGGCACTGGTAGCACAGTGTTGGTGTGAATATGGCACTGGTAGCACAGTGTTGGTGTGAATATGGCACTGGTAGCACAGTGTTGGTGTGAATATGGCACTGGTAGCACAGTGTTGGTGTGAATATGGCACTGGTAGCACAGTGTTGGTGTGAATATGGCACTGGTAGCACAGTGTTGGTGTGAATATGGCACTGGTAGCACAGTGTTGGTGTGAATATGGCACTGGTAGCACAGTGTTGGTGTGAATATGGCACTGGTAGCACAGTGTTGGTGTGAATATGGCACTGGTAGCACAGTGTTGGTGTGAATATGGCACTGGTAGCACAGTGTTGGTGTGAATATGGCACTGGTAGCACAGTGTTGGTGTGAATATGGCACTGGTAGCACAGTGTTGGTGTGAATATGGCACTGGTAGCACAGTGTTGGTGTGAATATGGCACTGGTAGCACAGTGTTGGTGTGAATATGGCACTGGTAGCACAGTGTTGGTGTGAATATGGCACTGGTAGCACAGTGTTGGTGTGTGAATATGGCACTGGTAGCACAGTGTTGGTGTGAAATATGGCACTGGTGTAGCACAGTGAATATGGCACTGTAGCACAAGTGTGGTGTGAATGGCATGGCACTGTGAAATAGCACAGTGTTGGTGTGAATATGGCACTGGTAGCACAGTGTTGGTGTGAATATGGCACTGGTAGCACAGTGTTGGTGTGAATATGGCACTGGTAGCACAGTGTTGGTGTTTCTTGGCACTTGTACTTATGTTTGGTTGTCTTAATAATGGTGTCAGTTTGTATATATGTGCACTGGCTTGTTGGCATCTTGTTTCTATTTCCCGATCTATTCTCCCGTCCTCCGAGAATATACTTTCTAGATATTTAAATTCTTTAAATTGCTTCATACAATGACCATTCAGCCTGATATTTAGCAGACTGGCTGACTGACTTTCTACCCCACCAGGAGGACATTACACAAGCGATAAACACCTGATGACACAGTGTGCCACCATGTGGATGAGGATCACCGTGGAGAGGTCCCAGAAACCGCGTTCAGCCATTAGGCCATATTTATGGCCTGGCTATATTGCAGCCCCCGGCAAGAGCCAGGATGGGGCTTCATATAACAAAAAATTTCATCCTAAATAGGACGATGAATAACATTTAGCAGACTAGAAACTGCTATAATTTATTATGTACACAAATTACTGCTTTTGGTTTTATGTTTATGATCCTTGCAGAGATTCCTTTCTTTTTAAAAGTGTGTTTGTTTGTTATTATGTTCTGTGAATGCTTATCATAGCTTTGATGTTTATTTGCGTTTTTCAGTTCTGTTGTTTTTTTTTTTTTGCGTTCACTGGCTGTAAACCCCAGCAGAAAGACCTGGTTGTTCGTCCATTGGACTTTGGCATTGTTCCAGGACCTGAGTTTTGCATATCCATTTGTTTTACAGATTCTTGATTATGTGTATGCAGACTGTTGGTTCCTTACCTCTCGGGCAGATGCATTCCATCTGTGAAGGAATTTCCCAATTAGTTGACTCTTATGACATACTTGTTTGGGAGGCAGTAAGTCTATTCTTGTTTTCCCCACAATGGGACCTGGGAACCAATATGGAGATCTGCTCTGTGAGTGCCAACTATGGCCTAGACCAGGGCCATGCAACAAAGTTTACTTAAGGGTCAAAAGTTTGAAAACGGGAATCGTCAGTTGCCTGGATCTCAACATAGAAATAATGTTAATACAATAAAAATGGCAGTTATCCGCGGACCCCGTGCTAGACTTCCATATTATCCTGCGGGCCACCAGTTGATTAGCCCTGGCCTAGACATTTATTAATTTGCTTATCCTCTTTCAGACAGTGTCTAAGAAACGAACATTGAATGAACAGTATGCGGTCCTGCCAGACGGGAAAGAGGCTCATTGGGAGGTTGTGGAGAGGATTCTGTTTGTCTACGCCAAGTTAAATCCTGGCCTTGGATATGTACAGGTGATGCGCCTGTTTGTGCTCCAGAAACTAGAAACTTCTAGAAGAACTGGGTGTAAAAGGAACATTCGTTATCAGTCAGCAGGTTCTGCAGAGAATATTGTTCTCCTCACGGCACACTTGAATGTCTCTCTCTTTCCCTAGCCACTTCTCCAGCCCTATGGGCTTTCATAGCTAATGCATCTTCAATGTCTTGTGTTCACCTTCACAGCGGTCTGCCCCTGCCTCATTGTCTAGAAAGTGCACCCTCCATCCCCGCTTGCTCCAGACCATCATGTCATTTAACATGACCAAAATAGCTAAGCTTTTGGGACAGGATGTTGTTTATGAGCCAGTTCTCCTTGATGCTCAGATCATAAAGGATGTTGGGTTTTATTTTTATTGGTCCATGTTATTCTAAGATCTTTTTGGTGCTTTATTAATATCCTACCCCAAATGGGAAATCCACAGGTCATGGGACAGTCTAATATTTCACAAGGTGGTAGATAGGCTGCACTCTCTCATGGGGTGTAGGTGGGTTGGGGTTAGGGCCAGTTCTAGATGTTTTGGGGTCGTTAAAAGCATCAGAAAGCCGGTCTTACCATCCTCTAAAATGTTGGACTGTCCTGTGACGCCATCTGGCGTTGGATATTAATGAAGAACCAATTTTTCTGTAGCAGTGCTGAAGGAAATAAGAAGGGCAAAGCACTTTTGATACATCAAGTTATATAACAGTCTTCTGAATTTGGTGGTGAAGGACAGTTTAGAACAAAGAGCAAGAGGACATGCAAGATAAAAATGTACAGGTAACATCCATATATATGGTCAAAAAAATTGTGGAGATCGCTAGTACTGACATATCACCCCATGAAAGCCGGTTTTGCAGCTTGTATGGGTTTTAATGACATGATGTTTTTGTGTGGTGGTCAGTACGCTTGTAAAGCATCTTTGGTACTAGCTGCAACTGCATAGTGTGTCGTCCTGGTAGATATTGTTATATTAACTCTTTGAGTCCCAAGAAACGCATCATATGTTCATAGATTCCTACCTAGAAGCCCAATGAACGCAAGATGTGCCGATTTTTACATCTCTCTTGACTACCCCTTGGGCCTGTGATGCTAAACCCCATGGGACTTAAAGAGTTACCCCCCCCCCCCCCCCCCCCCCCCCCCCCCCCCCCACATTTTATTTAATGAGATATTATTTGGTAGAAAAAAGGGGGGGGGGAATTTGTTGTTGTCATTATGACGTCATAATTAACTTATGATGAAATCTCTTGGCTCTGGGTGGCTGTGTCAACAAACCCTCTTTCTTGGTCAAAAAGAAAAGAAAGTTATTTCTCTGCTCTGTTTGTATTTAGTTTCATATGACAGTCACCTTTGTGACTTGAGAGCCCATGATAATGCAGTAGCTGGCATACTTGCCTTGGTTGTAATAGGTTTCAATCCCTGTATATTTTGAAATAAAAACTTGACCCAGGCTACAAATTCCTTTTGCTTCTTCTCTCCTAGTTTCATATGGTAGTGTGTATATTAGAAATGGAGAAAGCTGTGAAAACACGGGCACTGAGAGAACACAGAGATACAAAGTTGCAAAGTTCCTTAGTATGCCAGATCACCCCATGAAAAATAGATTTCAGAACCTAGCCTTGGGACGGTTAAAAAAAAGCAGCTTTATTCATCAAGCAAAAAAAATATGTAGACAAACTGCTGATGTTCCAGAAATTGGTTGTCCCACTTAAAAGTATTCCAGAACAAACCCCATGGAGAGAAAATTGCAAACTAACAGTACAAATCCAGACAAATGTGAAAGGGGTATTTGACAAGATAGTGTACAACGCAGAATGGCCACCCTCAGTTATATTGATGAAGAATACCCACAAGAACAATGGGTCAGAGTCTATACAGATGGGTCCGCAGAAAGTGCAGTTAGAAATGGTGGTGCTGGAGTGTACATAGAATTTCCAGATGGTACTAGGGATAAGTCCAGCGTACCAACCGGAAAGTACTGCCATAACTACGATGCAGAAACCCAGGCTATCAAGATAGCAACAGAGAAACTGCTAAATACCAATCTTGGCTCACAGTATGTGGTAATTCTGACAGATGCAAAATCAGTACTTGAAGCACTCCAGTCTAGGAAACTACCAGAATTGCAAACACTGCTGACACAACTTAGCCTTCAGCAAAGAGTCATAATGCTGTGGATACCGTCATATTGTGAAGTGCCTGGAAATGAGAAAGCTGATCAACTGGCAGGGGAAGATGCGACAAAGTTGCAGCCAGATGTACCAGTCACGACCACCAAAAGAAAAGAATTATTAAATCAATCAGGAAATCACCAGCCCCAGCACAAGACAACTATTTTATTATTGTCAGAACAGGTCATTATCCTCCGCCTCAGTACAGGGCACAACCGATTACGTAACCACATGTACACAAAATTCAAGAAAGGTATATCAGCCATGTGCACCTGTGGAAAGGTGCCCCAGACAGCAGAGCATGTACTTTAGGACTGCACCGAATTTGACACATTAAGGCAAACCTTTTGGCCAGAAAGAACAACAGTGGAACGTAAACTCTATGGACCACTGAATGAACTAACAACGACAGTGAAATTTATACAAGAGACAAAATTGCTGATATGTTTGTTAGGTATCTTTAACTAACTTATCTAGAAAGTTTTGAATCATTATCTGTATTTCTTCTTTAATATTATTTTTCCTCTGTTCAGGGAATGAATGAAATCCTAGGACCTATCTACTACACATTTGCCACTGACCCAGATCAAGATTGTAGAGGTACCAGTACCTTTGTTTTGTTATTAGCGTAGCTTAATATTGCGACAAAAACGATTTTAAAAACAGTTTTTTTCTTTTAAATTTATTTTTTACATTTGAAAAAATGTAATAGCTCTGGCTATTGTCAGGGCTCTGTAAAGAAGAAAAAGGAGGTGAAGAAAGACTTGGATACAGAACTTGGCTGATTAGACAAGCCTCAGAATGCAAACTCTGCCCAGAGCATGCCTGTCTCCAACTTTTTACGAACATGCTCCATGAGTCGATTACAATCATGACATGTGTGTGCAGCTGGTTCTCAAGTATGAGGAAAACTGCTGTGACAGTCTCCACCTCCATTCTCAAAATAGATTTTGTAGTATCATATGCTAGACTTTGTAACCATGACAGAGAGGTTAAGCCATTTGATTTTGGAATCGTCCTTTTGTTGACAAGGGTAAGTGTTTCGATGATTGATGGGGATTGTTCCTAGACCTGTGGAGTTTATGCTTTGTACAGTGTTATCGCTGGCAATTACCTAGGACTTTGCTGATATGAGACTATAAGCGCCCATGCTTCATGGGAGGATGTTATGGGAAGTATCAAGTTATCCAAAAAACAAAGAGATAAATACTGCCTCTGGGACGATTTTCTTGAAGGATTATCTCTTTCTACATAATTTATTGATTCTTTATTTTAATTGAAATGATTTAATCAAAGCACTCGATAGATTAATTGCCATTCTCACAAACATCTCAGTTTATTGTATCTTTTGCTAATCATGACATTGATTAACCATCGGTATTGTATTTATAGGTCCTTTGTAGAAACAGGGTGTTTTCAAGATTGTCATCACAGTCTGGCCTGAAAGAGAATCAGTCTCATTGAATGTAAAGATACTTCCAGTCAGTTCTCCCACCCTGTGCACGTATGGTTCTGTTTCCTACCCTCATACTGTACTTATATGATGCTTGTGCATGTGGTTTCCTACCCTAAATGGTTATCTTATATCTTGAAGTTGCACTTTCCTACCCTAGATGTTACTTATATCTTTGTGCACTTTTGATAATACCTAGATGTTACTTATGGGAATCTTGATGTGCACTTTCCTACCCTAGCTAATGTCACTTTGCTGATAGTATAATCATGTTGTGAAAACAGACTTCCTACCCTAGATGTTACTTATATCTTGTGCACTTTCCTACCCTAGATGTCATGTATATCTTACGCACTTTCCTACCCTAGATGTTACTTATATCTTGTGCACTTTCCTACCCTAGATGTCACGTATATCTTACGCACTTTCCTACTCTAGATGTTAATTATATCTCGTGCACTTTCCTACCCTAGATGTCACGTATATCTTACACACTTTCCTACCCTAGATGTCACGTATATCTTGTGCACTTTCCTACCCTAGATGTCACGTATATCTTGTGCACTTTCCTACCCTAGATATCACGTATATCTTGTGCACTTTCCTACCCTAGATGTCACGTATATCTTGTGCACTTTTCTACCCTAGATGTCACGTATATCCTGCGCTTATTTTTGTGCCCCTCTCCCCTGCTACGATGCCGTATGTTTTTTTTTCTATCTGTCGTGGCACTCAATATGACAAAAATTTTCATTTTCCAAGGCAAGCTTTGTCTATTAGCCAGTCTTCCTTGATATTCAGATCTTTTTTTTTTCTTGTGCCTTTCTTTCTCCCTAATGGAGCATAGGCCCTCAACCAACTCGCGCCAAGTCGTTCTATCCTTCGCCATTGCATGAAGCTCTCCCCCATGTCCTCCAACTCTTTCTAACTTCATTCTCCAGCTTTCTTCTCCATGTGTTTTTTGGTCTTCCTTTATTCCTATGCCCCTCTAGGTTCCAATGCAAAGACATTCTAGTTATGCTGTTCTCCTGTTTTCTCAGTGTGTGTCCTATCCAATGCCAGCGACTTTTCCTCACCTCTTGGTCTACTGGAGCCTGTTTAGGTCCCTCTTAAAGCTCTACATTAGTTATTCTATCATTCTTGTTCATGGTATTCTGTGAATCTTTGTATAGCATTTCAGTTCAAAACCCGTATTTTCTTCCTTAATGACTATGATATTATCCGCGACTCTCATTGCTATGTTTGCCCAGGGAAGATGCATGCACTCAACATTGTGACTTTGATTTCTTTGCTGTTCAGTCTTGTCTTTGCTGTGGTCATCCTATGTATGTAAATTGTACCCAACCTGGACTTCACACAAGCGATAAACACCCGGTGACACAAAGTGCCACCATGCAGATGAGGATCACCCGTGGAGAGGTCCCGGAAACCCTTCTGCCATTTCAGGCCCGGCTATATTTAGGACCCCCAGCAAAAGCCAGGGTGAGAATTCAAAATAACTAAAAAAATGCATCCCACAAAGGGGATGACGAGATTTGAAGACATCTTGGGGTGGTCATCCTCCTTAGAATCAGAGTATAATTTGATCTGAATTTGGATTAAATAGTGTGATCCAATTCTATCTTAATAGTATGATTTTATCTAAGTATATATTGTATATAAAGATTAATAGTATATTTTTATTTTGATACAGATTTATAGGATAGAATGATCTTAGTGTAGATAAATGGTATAGTTTAATTTAACTACCTATGTTCTTGTCTCTTTCAGAATTTGCTGAAGCTGACTCTTTCTTCTGTTTCACCAGCTTGATGGCGGAGATCCGGGACTTCTTCATCAAGACTTTGGATGACTCCCAGTACGGCATAGGTACTGTGAGCTTCTTTATGTTTTCTGTACTTGACATAGGATCTATACGTAGAGACAGCTGGGCTTAGAGGTTACAGTGTTTGCTTGAGGCTCAAATCTGACAGGGTTCAAATCTCAGCACTGTGTTGGGAATTAATGTCAAATGCACCTGACAAGATACAGCTAAATGTGTCGGGCAGTGTTTTGTTTGAGTCTGTGTTGTTGAAATTTGCAAGGGGAAAACATTATTTTGAATTATTACAAGAATCATTCAGTGGAGCAAGTGAGACGATCTGATATCTAGCGTTGTCAAACATCATCATCATCAACATCCTGTTTTGTCTAATATATGTCACATAAGGCTCACAGTCTGTTCCTCTACTCCATTCTGTCCTGTGTAATCCCTGCAATATCATGGATGAAATCCAGTCTGGTATGTTAGTTTTAAGATATTTCTGTTTGTAGGGGAGGGGGCAGACATCTTGCTTCCTCAGTCCAGCTATTTCCCTTTTAAGTACCTGTTTGGTGATTCTGTGCTCATTTCTTCCTAGGATGTGTCCAATATAGCGCCATTTTCTTTCTCATGTAACTGTTGATACCAGTGGTTGGCCAGACATGTCTCTTGTAACTGTTGATACCAGTGGTTGGCCAGACATTTCTCTTGTAACTGTTGATACCAGTGGTTGGCCAGAGATTTCTTTTGTAACTGTTGATACCAGTGGTTGGCCAGACATTTCTCTTTGTGATAACTGTTGCCAGATACCTTGGTAACTGTTGAGTAGTGGTTGGCAGACATTTCTCTTGTAACTGTTGATACCAGTGGTTGCCTAGACATGTCTCTTGTAACTGTTGATACCAGTGGTTGGCCAGACATTTCTTTTGTAACTGTTGATACCAGTGGTTGGCCAGACATTTCTTTTGTAACTGTTGATACCAGTGGTTGGCCAGACATTTCTCTTGTAACTGTTGATACCAGTGGTTGGCCAGACATTTCTCTTGTAACTGTTGATACCAGTGGTTGGCCAGACATTTCTCTTGTAACTGTTGATACCAGTGGTTGGCCAGACATTTCTCTTGTAACTGTTGATACCAGTGGTTGGCCAGACATTTCTCTTGTAACTGTTGATACCAGTGGTTGGCCAGACATTTCTCTTTTTGTCTCACGTATAAAGGCGTACAATGGCTAGGACAGTCCACCCTGTTTGGGAACTGCCTTCACAGAAAGAAACTGCAGCCTGATGTGAATATATCTCTGTCTACAAACAGCAGTCATGTGTGCATACAAGAAAGAGGGCAACCATAATTACCTACACACACATGGCATGAACTGTAATAGTTTATTATTTCTCACCTCCGTGTACTCTTACAGGCAGCAAAATGTGCCACCTGATGGAATTGGTCAAGCAGTTCGACCGGCCTCTGTGGCAGAGTTTGCAGGATCAGGAGCTAAAGCCCCAGTTCTATGCCTTCCGGTGGATCACACTGCTTCTCTCACAGGAATTTGAGTTGCCTGGTAGGTCTGTGGGTGTCAAAAGTTACTTGTTGTTAGACATCATGAAGTAGGTTATGTTGTATGTTGTTTTTTTTTTTTTTTTTTTAAATACTTCCATCTTGTGGGCTTATATTTGGTCAAGAAACTGATTGGGCCCATTCTTCTTCTTCTTAGCGTTCGGTGGTTGTGAATTTTGGCAGAAAGTTCTGGTTGTTCATTAATTTCTGGACTTCAGTCTTTTTCCAGAAACGTAGTTTTTCATTCATATCCATTTTACTGATTTGGTTTTCTTGTATGCAGACTGTTGGTTCCTTACTGTTCAGGAGGATGCGCTCCAACTTCAGGGGAAAATCCTTAATAAATGCTTTTTACGACATGCTTGTTAGGGAGGATGTGGGTTTTTTCTTTTCTTACACCTAAAACTGGGCCCCGGAACCCACATTGGAAGAGGTGGGCCCATTCCAGACTGAACCTGTCTAAGCACCATAGCTAATACTTGATGGGAAAGGAGTTTCCTACCTTCCTTGCATACCCGTTTACTTTCCTGTCTTCACCTGCTTTGTTCATTTCTTTCGGCCCATGATTTGTAACACCTCTCTCTCTAACTCTTTAGCCCCATTAATTGGGTTTCAGCATCCGCTTCCCTATTCCTCTACAAGAGAGAAACTGTCACTGTGTGGCTGTAAATGAAACCAACCCAAGACAGAATGATGTAAAACTCTGCACAAATGTGGTGTGCAAGCATAGAATACGTCATTGTTGAAGAGGGTCTATACCAAAGAATCAGAGAGATGTTTTTGAACTGTGAAGGATGTTTACCATCTTTAAGGATCACAGGAGGGAGCTTGCCCTGTAACTGTGAAGGATGTTTACCATCTTTAAGGATCACAGGAGGGAGCTTGCCCTGTAACTGTGAAGGATGTTTACATCTTTAAGGATCACAGGAGGGAGTTTGCCCTGTAACTGTGAAGGATGTTTACCATCTTTAAGGATCACAGGAGGGAGTTTGCCCTGTAACTGTGAAGGATGTTTACATCTTTAAGGATCACAGGAGGGAGCTTGCCCTGTAACTGTGAAGGAATGTTTTACCCATCTTTAGGATCACAGTGAGGGAGCTTGCCCTGTAACTGTGAAGGATGTTTACATCTTTAAGGATCACAGGAGGGAGTTTGCCCTGTAACTGTGAAGGATGTTTACCATCTTTAAGGATCACAGGAAGGAGCTTGCCCTGTAAATGTGAAAGATGTTTACCATCTTTGAGGATCACAGGAGGGAGCTTGCCCTATAGATGCCTGCCTGACTTGTATCTGTTGAATGCAGTCATGCCTAGTTGTCTTTTTTGCCTGGTGCAAGGATCTTTCATTATTTGAGACTTTCTCTGGACATACACTAAGAGGGAAACCTGTTTCATTTTCTTTTCTTTATAAAATTTAACAGGTCCAGATGAGTATCATATACTTTCGTATCATTCTGTCATTTAATAATATTTTGTTTCGTTTATTTGCATAATGATTTGAACACCATAATGTTATTATTTCATAGTCACTTCATGTTTTGTTTTTTTTCTGTTTGTTGTTGTTGTGTTTTGTTTCTGATCATTGTTTTGCTGATGAAGGCTAACCACTGCAATCATTTGTTTGGCTTTGGATTTTGGCTTGTAAAGCTGACACATGTTTAATGTTTGTCTAATTGTTTTATATCTAGCCAGATTAGGTCAGGCTGCTGAGACCAAAAGTAATTTATATAAAATAGCACACTGTAGATGTCATTGTGGAGGAAGAAGTATGGATAGGGCAGACTTTCTAAACACACTTTGTGTGCCAGGGAAGTTGAGACAAAGGAGTCCAAGACAGTGAACTGCCGGTTGGAAATGGGTATTAAATTAGGACACACATGAAGAAACTGGTAGCAGGACTTAAAAAGAAGATCTACCAGTCATCTCCTGTTGGGTGTGTTGAGCATGAGATGGCTGCTGCATGGGAGGATGGTGTAAAAATAGGTTGAACCTATGTGCTAGGACGTTGATACGGACAAGTAACCGTGGCCCTAATTGTCCCTTGAGCCTGTGATCTAGGCTTAACACAACATGGCACAAATAAACATGAAAATCTGGTCATTTCAAGCAGAAAATAATCTTTTTTTGTGTTTTCAGATGTCCTCAGGATCTGGGACTCTCTGTTTGCGGACAGCAACAGATTTGAGTTTCTTCATTTTGTTTGCTGTGCAATGTTGATGTAAGTTGATCTTCTTTTTTTTTTTTTTCCTACTTTTCAATGTCTCTGATATTTCTGTGGTCTATATTCTGCTCTGTTCAATCTTGTTACATTGCCAAACCATTTGATCTGTTGTCTACCGATAAAGTTTAGTATTGGTTCTGTGCCGACTCTCCTCGTGGTATCATTGTTCCTAAACCAATCTAAAAGGGGGAAGTTGGGGGGATTCTCCCACACAGGCATGTCATACAAGTTGACTGATTAAAGTTGTTTCTTTTGAAGTTGGATTTCATCTGCCCATAAGGAGGAACCAACAATCTGCACACAGATAATCCAGATCTATAAACAGATGTGTATGCAAGCCTTAAGTTATGAAACAAGACTAAAGTCCAGAGGCGAATGAACAACCAGTATTTTCTGCCAGACTCTACAGCCACTGAATGCGAAAAGTAGGAAGATCTCCCAGGGAAAGCAAAGGCTACACAGCTTACTCACACCAAGCCCCTCTTGTCTGTAGATTTGTTCATGATTGGTTGGCTTCTGTGGCTAAGGTTTGCTCGTGCAGCCTCACTTTGTCATCTCTGATCTCTTCTTCTTCTCTTCTTCTGCCTGTCTATTCCCCCAATGGAGCATAGGCCCTCAACCAACTCACGCCAAGTCGTTCTATCCTTCGCCATTGCATGGAGCTCTCCCCATGTCCTCCCCATCTCCTCTGAACTCATGCTAGGTAAACTTGAGTGGTAATGTTTGCTTCCCTTAGGTACTGCAGCTACACACTGGGGAATAATAAAATATTGACACATTTTCAAGGTTAAAGGTGAGAGGAACACCTTCATGACACCAGGTTCTATCCTATATGTCTCAGTCTGTCTGCGCAGCACGGCCGGCTGCCTGCCAAGAGCATCACAGAAAACATGAAATTTGTAGCTCCAGCAACAAATCCCCAGAAAACTCAGGACATATTTCACACACGACCCTCTGAGCATGAGAACCCGTAAAAGTGAATGTATTGTACACAGTGTCTCAGCTGATGTAAGATGCAACACAAAGATGATAAAGGAATCACCACACACACACAAAAGAGTTTGTTTCATTAGAATGAGCATTTCATTTTTTTTAAATACCTTGACCAACATAACAAGCTGCTTGCTAAAAACGTTTGCGAGGCCTTTTCTATATTAATTTGATTATTGGACAATTAGAGCAGGGGGGGGGGGGGGGGGGGGGGGGGGGGGGGGGGGAAAATTAGAGGGAATCGTTTTTCCAACCTAAAGCTGGTACCAAGCAATGCTCTGGTCAACACAATATTGATGCTGATTGGTCTATAAACTGTCTCATTAACATTCGTCTTAGGGTTTCTTTTGGGTGTCCTTGCTTCCTCAAGCCCTTTATTTCCCATTTTAATGCCTGTTTTGTAATTGTCTACTGGTTTTATCTCAGGATGTGTCCAGTATAGCGCCGTATATAGAACAATGTACCAATATTATTTCAAATTGTTAAAAATGGTACTTTACTTAACATTCTATTTATTGTTATTCTTCAGGTCAGTTAGAAATGAGCTTTTAAGAGGGGATTTTCCCAACAGCATGAAACTAGTCCAGGTGAGAACAAATGTTTTTATATTGCCTCACTTTTGTGAGTGTACCTGGTCATCTTTTCATATTATCTAAAATATTTCACGCATAATTGTCCATGAGCTTTGACTTATAGTTCGCTGCCATGAAATACAGAGTAGAAAGCTCATTAAGGCGAACACTTGTTCAACATGAACAAAATGATGTTCCCATCAGAGATGTATATATTTATTATTTTGTGTGTTAGTCTCTGGTTGGCCTGAGTTTTTTTAAATATATATACAGAGTTGATTTTTTGCGTGTGCATTGGAATTGATGTTAACAAGGTTTTACTTTACAGGGTTCGTAGTGGACCGGGAAATCGGGAAATTACCGGGATTTTTTTCGTTGACCTTGAACCGGGATTTTTAGCTTATAAAAGACATTCCGACCTTGAAAAGCCGTGAACCGCGGCAATGAAATCGTCAGAAATCCTGTGTTTTTCAGCACAGGCAATGTATGGGGAGCCATTTGGCTTTTTTGGCCATTTGGCTAGTTTTTGGCTACTTTTCTTTGTATGGTCGTTTCAGGTGTGAGGGCAGCTGATTATTGGCTATTTTCAGCCGAAATGGCTTGTTAAAGGCCAGGGGAGGGCGGGCTGTGTTGCAGATCATGAATACATGCAGACAGCAGTGGTGTGGCAAGGGGCAGATTTCGTCTCGTGTGTGTGTGTGTGTGTGTGTGCCTTTGTTTCTAGCAAGTCGGCGGAATGAACAGTATAAATCGTTTATGGCCGTGGTTTCTAGAAAGGATTACATTGGGAGATGGTGGGGCTCGGTTCAGTTGTATTTATAGAGTCGCCGTGGTGGGGGCTAAGCACAGCCTTCTCTATTAATTAGAGATGGCATTGGGGCTAAGCAAAGTGACTACAGCTGGATTTCCCAGTTCTATTTTTGGCCTGGATTTATCTTTACAGTGTGTTTGGCGATCAGTATTATAATTCCCCGAGATTCCGTCTCCTGCATTGTCTCTAACCCTCCCTTCTGATCTTCTTCTTCTTCTCTTTCTCTCTATCTTTCCTTTTACTCTCTCATTTCCTGTCCCCCCTCCCCCTTTTTCCTATTTTATTTCTTGTTTAAATGTTTAGTAAATGTGCGGCTCCATAACTCTTCCTAGCAACTCAAGTACACAGGAAGTTGTATTGGGGGGGGGGGGGTGTGGGGGGGGGCATTCTGTGGGAACATGGTGGATATTTTCTTTTGATGTGTTTGTTTTCCTAGCGGCCTTAATCTCTGTCCATCTCCCTTCCCGCCCCCTCACATTTTGTCCTACCTGTTCCTCACTCTCTGCCTGTCTGTGTCACTGCTTTCCTCTCTCTCTTTCTCTTTGTATTTGCCACTCTCCCTCACTTCCTCCCCCTCTCTCTCTCTCTTTCTTTCTCCATACCTTCAGTTGGTGTAGAAGGTTATGTGTTGCCTAGTGCAGAACATTTCATGTCCAACAGCTCCCCCTCCCTCACACACACATTAAAAATATGTGTACTTTTAAAAACACATTTGCCGTTTCCCCCCCCCCCCCCCTTTTCTCCTCCCACATTGATGACACCTAGGGGAGGGAGTGCACCCCTTCCTGCTACCTTCTTCCCTCTATATCTCATCTTATTTCTTACTCCCTTCTTTCTCTCCCTGTCTCATTCCCCACTTTATTTTCTTAAACTTTATTCTCTCACCTCCTCTGTCTCACCCTTACCACCTCAGCCTTCTACACCACTTTCCACCACCTCCTCTCTCCCCTCCTTTCTGTAATTGGAAAACCAGAAATAAAACGAAGTCCACTGCTGCCCTGACCTATTTATGTGTCTGACCTATTTATGTGTCTGACCTATTTATGTGTGTGGGTAAACTTCTCTATTTTCCACCAGTGGTGGGTTGGGATCCCCTGGACTTTTTTTTTTCTTCATAAAATGACCTTGGCTCTCAGGTCACCAGCCTTAAGTGTAAGAAATTGAATTATTGTTGTCACACACAGATAGGGCAAGCAAGGGGCAGTAGGGGTTAGCACTGTTGTTTTTGGACCACGGCAGGCCGCATTCACATTGGGAGAGGGTAGGAACCGGAAAAGTGGCCTCACTTAGAGATTTCCTAATTCTATTTTTGGCACTCATTGTTCTTACACCCCCACCCCCACAACCGTGTCTTACCTTTCTTCTCTCACCCCTTCTCTTTCCTTTGATCTTCTACTGTTCTCCTTTCTCTCTCCATTCTTCCTCTCTTCCTTTCCTTGCCCCTTCTCCTGTCCCATCTCTTCTTTGTCTCCTCTCCATCCTGTCTTTTCATTTTCTCTAGATTTCCTTACCCGCTCCTCCTCTCTCTTCTCTCCCCTCCCCCCCCCCCCCCCCCCCCCCCATTTTTTTACTGGTTCATCTACGTATTTTTTTTTCCCCATAACTATCTTTTCCTAGTGGTTGTGTCCACTACACTTGAATTGTGTGTTGGGGGGGGGGGGGGGGGGGGGAGTAGGTGGCTGTTTTTTTTTCTTTGATGTATCTTGTCTCCCTTCCTGCCCCTCTCTCTTAATCTGTTTGTCACTGCCTTCCTTACCCACCTCTCTCTCTCTCTCTCTTGCTTTATGTCTGTTTGCCTCCCTTCATCACTTCCTCTTTGTATACCTCCCTCCCATTCTCCTGCTCTGCCTTTTTTCTCTTTCTTTGGTTCTCTCCCTCTGTCTGCTTGCCTCTCTGTGCTGTCCCTTTGTCTCTCTCTCCTTTGTGTCTACATCTCTCTCTGCTTGCATCTGCTTCTCACCCTGTCCCTTCTCTCTCCCTCTGTCTCCCTTCTTTCAACTCTTTGTCATATTTTCCTCCTTCCATATCTCTGTTTAGTTCCCTTTTTACTTCTCTTTTCATCTGCCCATCTCTGTATCTGCATTCCCTCTTTCTGTATTTGTCTCCCTCTCTGTCTTTTGCTGTCCCTTCCCCACTTTTCCTCATCATGTCTCCATCCCTCCCTCTCATTTTTTCCCCCTTCCCCAGACTTCTTTTCCTTCTTTTCTCTACCTTCATCTGTCCATCTTTACACTGTTTCTCCCAGCCTACCTCAGCATGTGTCTTCCTCTCTCTTCATGACTCTCTCTCTCTACCCTAACCCTCTCAGGTACCAGGTCCAGAACAGACAGGACTTCAGTTTGCTGCCCTCTACCACCAAGCCCTAAAAAAAAATTTCAAACACTATATCAAGCTCAGGGGCCGACCAACACGAAGATGGGCACAGGATATAAGTGACTCCTTGAGTATAAAAAAGTACATGAGGCGGGAGAGCTGGTGAGAGACCGAGGTTTTTTTGTCAGAACAAAGGAAATGCTACATGATGATGATATCTGTGCTGGTATACCAACACATGTGGCACAAATAAAGTACCTTGTGTGCTCAGTACACCCTTGAACAAGGCAAAAATCTTGTTTCAGTATTACACCGAGACAACCTTGAAAAAAACTAACGAGACCTTGAAAAAGACCTTGAAAAGCCTTGAAATTGATTGGTAAATTTGGCTATGAACCCTGACTTAACAGTGAAGGAAACTTTACCTTCTAAGTCTTTACCCTAACCAGTCTGTGTGTGCCGTCTGCTCTGATTTAAGAGCTTGGAGAAACTTGTCAGCTGAGACCATGGGGTCATTGTACTCTTTATGTTTGGCCAAGTAACATTACAGTGGGCAGGGACTAAAGTTGTCTCAGTACATGCAGCAACAGTGACAAACAACACTCAGACTCCATAATAGATGGGCTGAAACACAAGTTTCACTCACAAACGTTTATTTGCCCTTCTACCCATGCACACGCATCTGTTCCCTGTGGCTAGTTCTGGTTTAGAGTGAAATGAAGAGAGCGTCTGCTTAAATATCAAACAGCTCTAGTAACTACTCACACGACAGAATATCATGCATACACTCAAACTTTGCAGTCAATCGCACGTTCTGGCTGAAACATTCATTCGACATAGTTGGCAGTCATAACCTTGCATCCATCATTGGCAGTTACAGGATGGCCAGATATTCACAGCCACTGTAGGTTGCTTGAGTTGATTCAGCTGTCTGGTTGACACACATTCATTGCTTCACTTGGCTCATCCAGAACTCTCCTAATAGGATAAACTTGTGTGATTACATCCATAAAGGAGATTATTTGGTTACAGAATTATTCACAATGTCTGCTAGTTTGAGTGGCATCCGTGGCTTAGGCATTAGTCTGACTTGTAATGCAGCGCACCGCGATCGAAACCCACTGCTGGCTGCGTGGCTTTTTATCGTGGTATGGGGCGTCGCAGGTCGACCTAGCCTAAAATGGGTACCAGAATGGCTGTCCTGGGGAAGTAGAGACGACCAGCGTAATGCTGACCACATTACCCACCTAGTGCTGATTGGTCTGTAAAAATATGGGTGCTCTTCTCATATGCCTAATGCTCCTAAGACGTGAAAAGGGATCTTTTTTTTTTTATTGCTAGTTTGTGTAGAACATCTATAGCAGTTGCTACTGCAGGAAATTGTTGCATGGTTTCTCATGTTTTCCTTTTATTCAACAGAACACGTCCTCATCCATTGACCTAGAACAAGTGTTAACCAAGGCTAGAGAACTGTACAGTATGTAACGATGGCCATTTATAGGCAATTATTGGTGAGTGTACTGTACATTTTAAGAACGATGAACTCATAGTCCATATTGCAGGTGGATAACCCCATTCAACCGGCAGTGAAGTTATAATTAGGACACCTGTAAAGGTTTCTTCAGTATGCTGAAACTTGCAGTCCATTGTGAGTGATGGTTGTACTAACCACAATTTCTGCATGTTTATTAATTGCCTTTACTACATTGGTGCAGGAAAAAATCAATTTAAAAAAAATGGTGTGGGGGGGTGTAAGATTTGATTACAGCTTTAAGTTGACTACAGAATTGGCTGGCAAAATATCCTCTTCTTCCTGTGCCCTTTATCCTTCAATGGAACATAGAATCCCTCACTGGAACCTGGAATCCCTCACTGGAACCTAGAATCCCTCACTGGAATAGAGAATCCCTCACTGGAACATAGATCCCTCACTGGAACCTAGAATCCCTCATTGGAACCTAGAATCCCTCATTGGAACATAGATCCCTCACTGGAACCTAGAATCCCTCATTGGAACATAGATCCCTCACTGGAACCTAGAATCCCTCATTGGAACATAGATCCCTCACTGGAACCTAGAATCCCTCATTGGAACATAGATCCCTCACTGGAACCTAGAATCCCTCATTGGAACATAGATCCCTCACTGGAACCTAAAATCCCTCATTGGAACATAGATCCCTCATTGGAACATAGATCCCTCACTGGAACCTAGAATCCCTCATTGGAACATAGATCCCTCACTGGAACCTAGAATCCCTCATTGGAACATAGATCCCTCATTGGAACATAGATCCCTCACTGGAACCTAGAAAAAAGGTCATCTCCATGTCTTCTCCATTTGATTCCCTCAGTCTTTAATTCTCCTAATTGGTCTCCCTTTATTTCATTAACTCTGTTGGTTTCATTGCAAGGACATTTTCAGCATTGAAAACAATGATGGTCATGTAGAGCATGTTGTATAAATAAAAACTAGTTTTCATTAAAATAATTTTTGTATTTGTATTCTTCCTATGTATGGAAACTTATGGAACACCCTGTATTATTCCTATGTATGGAAACTTATGGAACACCCTGTATTATTCCTATGTATGGAAACTTATGGAACACCCTGTATTATTCCTATGTATGGAAACTTATGGAACACCCTGTATTATTCCTATGAATGGAAACTTATGGAACACCCTGTATTATTCCTATGTATGGAAACCTATGGAACACCCTGTATTCTAACCAAATGTTATGTTTTTCATTTTGTCACTGCTCCAGGTTGAACAGGGTTTGAGTGATGAGTGCTTTTACTAGGAGTTCTGCTGGATCCCTTCCCTGAAAGCTACACAAATATATATATCAGTGAAAGACATATTGTGTAGACTTGTTGCGTACAGCAGTGAACTCTTTTATTATATTGTGACTTAAACTGAGGGATGTGCTGTGTACAGGGAACTTGGTTTTGACTGGCTTTGTTGCTGATTGGTAAAATTATAAACTCTTTGAGTCCAAGGCTGTTGTTGCCACAACCCTTTTGTTGTCCAAAGAGTTTTAGCTTCAAGGTAGTAAACATATTTTTCCATAATTTACAAGACAACCCGTGTGTTTTTTTCCAGGCCAAAATTAATAAATACATATTTTAAACACATTCCATTTTTAAGATGACCCCTAATTTTAAACTTTAAAAACAAACTTGGGAAACATATTGTCTTATACACGAAAAAATATGGTAATATTTTGGTTTAAAGTAGTTCAACAGAGACGCTGCAGAAAAGAAGTTAAATCACTCAGATCCAAGGGGTTAATCTAACGATTCTTTGGTAGAAAAAAAAAAGCACATTCTCTCTGGAAACACGAAGAAACATGTGGTGAAAGTACAGTCAGCACTGTGCAATCCTTTGGTTCAGATCTGTAGAAGTGGACTATGTCTAAATTGAGGGCTTCAAGTGATATTATGTACATAATTTATAGGGTCTTCATTGCTGTTTCACAAATTCATTAAGCTGTAGTCAGCACTGTGCTTTTCTTTTAGTGTGTTCTGCAGAAGTGAACTTTTAGTGGGAATTATTTTTAGTGTTTCCCTGGGTCCCATTTTGGGGGGTCAAGAATGTACCCACTGCCTCACTAACAAGCATGATGTAAAAGGTGATGAATTAGGGATTTGTCCTTCAAAATCAAAGTGCCTGAGAGCTTAGGAACCAATAGTCTGCACACAAGTAGACCAGATCTGTAAAACAGATGTGCACACACAATTCAGGTTCTGGAACTAGACAAGTCCAAAAGTGGACAAACACCCAGAACTGTACAGTCGGTCTCGGCTAAGAAGAAGAAGATTAACAGGTTGTTCAGAGATAAGATTGTCTTCTTTGCATCAAGCTTATTTGATCTGGCTCTATCTCTCTCTCTGCAGAGCTGCGGGTCCAAAGGGGTCTAACAAATAATTGTGTTTATTAATCAATTTGGTGTAACGTGAATCCACATAGGGAAGTGATTGGTGCTGACTTTGTTTCAATATAAATGCCTGCACACATTGTCTGAGCACTCGTGGGTTCTCTGTGAAGATTTGAAAACTTGGGTGCTGGCTGACTTTCATCAGAAGTAGAGATAAGGCTTTGGTCTTTTAATCATGCATTTTTTCATGTTTTAATAAATTGAGAGGATAATATGAAATGATTGTAAAATATATTCAACTCTTGTATCATTGTGTGGCTTCTGTTTGTCATATCTTGCCTTATACATTTGTGAAATAATGCATGTAGAACAGAACATTGTAGAATCTCCGGGGCCATCAAACAAATATTGTCACATAGCACGTCTTTAGAATTTCATTTTTATCTCATCATGCCTGATTGACTTGATTATGTGCCTGTTTTCCCCCACATCATATTCAGGTTTTTTAATTGTCTTGTAACCGCTGCCATCTTGGTCAACCACTGCCTTGTCTTCCAAGAATCATCTTCCCCTATCTTAGCTGAAAAACCAGAGAGACATGCAAGGGTGGAACTGGCATTTCACAAATCAGAGAAACATTAGAAATAGGTCAAGTCGTGATTCAGCACAGCACTTACAGGCTAGACTTCGTAGTTGGCATCCTTTAAATATTTTCTCCCTAGTATGCAGGTGTGTTGGGAAATGAATGAGCCGACGGACTGGTTGCTGCTACGTCACTGGATGGAGACTTGATGAATGATGAGCTATATGTGATCAAATGAACAATGCAGAAGTGTGAATAGATATCATTATGGTCTGGACAGAATGTAGCGGCACACAGTGACCAGGGGATATGGCACATACTTAGAGGAAAGGCAAGATGGACATACAATCAAACTGGTACCACTGGCATTTGAACTCTTCACTCGCTGCTGAAGATGGGGACAGAGTGTTTATGGGAGTGTCCCAGGTGCTCTGATATTGGTTCTTAACATGTAGGCTAGTTGTAAAACATTTCTTCCTCAGATTTGAAATATTTTATCGTCAGCAGACTCCATCTCTTTGCCCAAAAGATATTCTATTGAATTCTGATGACTGTATTGTATTTTCTGTCGCCAGCTGCATTGCGTGGGATCTTGTTAACTTCCATGTTTTCTAGTCACTGTCAGATACATGTTTATCACCGGATCTGTTTGTAATTACAAATCGCAGACGGCATTTACAGTCATTGTGTATCCAGGTCAAAGATCAATACAGGTTACAGGTCATGCTGAGTAATTGTCTTAAGTGTGTGAAGGACATGCAGTTTTACCTATACCAGATCCTTGTTTTATGTGATGAAGTGAGCAGTTCTCTTCATCTCTTATTTACCGTTAACTAATTGTTACAGGCTGATACTGCATTTTACACTGGAATATCTTAAATAACGTAAGAAACACATTCACATGGATTGACTCCCTCTAAGAGAAATAGATGGGAAAAAAGAATAGAGATTCAAATATTAGGATCTCTGTGTTGGTTCCGGGGCCCTTTTATAGGGAAAACAAGAATAGACCCACTGCCTACCCAAAAGAAAGTCGTAAAGAGTCGACTAATTGGGAGCTTCCTTCCAAGTCAGAGTGCATCTGCCTGAGAGGCAAGAAACCAGCAGTCTGCATACAGAAAAGTCAGATCTGTCAAACGGATGCACAAGCAACACTCAGGTTCTGGAACAGGACTGCAGTCCAGAAGTGGACGAACAACCAGAACTTTCTGCCAGAGTTTACAACTGGTGAATGCGAAGAAGAAGAAATATTAGGAGTAGCAGCGCCAGATGCTTATCTGCTGGTTCAAATACGCAGAAAGGCACATTTTTATAAATGACCTAGGTTTAAAGGTCTACCCGGCCCAAAACAGATACCAGAAAATTTAATGGGAAGTAAAAATAGTTTGCATGATTTTGACTATGTCATCCATCGAGTACCAGTTGATTTTTTTTTTTTAAACATATGGGTGTAACATCATATATGAAGTGAAAAAGTTCTTACTTGACAACTATCACACATAAAAGTTTAAACTGCTGGCCACATCCAAATTTGAATTTAGCACTTGAGATGAGTGGCAGTCGTTCCCCGTTAATTATTTCCCATAATTTTTCTTACATTTCAGTGTCTGTTGTGGACATCTTAGCTGTTGTTTTTAAATGGTTATGTGTAATGTATGTGGTCATCATTACTTGTCTGATAGGAGGCTGTGTGAGAACTTGACTTGGGGAAGGTTACATGTCCTAGCTGTTGCTGTCCAGTGTACTGGCCTAGTTATGTTATCTTCAGTTGGTACCACATTCATAAGACATCTCTGCCAAGTTCAGACTTCATGTTACTCTGTAACTATGAAGGGGGGGGGGGGGGGAGAAAGGGGTTATAACTGTTTTGCATGGTTGAACAGGACTTCTGGGTTTTGTATGTGTAGGATTCTCATCCTTGATGTGTTAAAGCAGGGAATCACAGGATATACTGTCTGGGGTGTGCAGGAGTGCAAGGGAATGAAAGAGCGGATTTTCTGGCTGCAAAAGCTATGGGAAC